TTAGTGAACTGTGAGAGTAAGAGGTTAGAAAAAGACTGTGATAATTGGTCGCATAGTAAATTGGTATGTTGAATACTTAGAAAAATCTTTCCTCACAGTTAATGACTATTGGATGTGTTTATCACCTGGGCCCCAAATTCCCCCCTTTTCTCTACACATTCCATTTCTTCATTTCCCTTGGTTAATGTCAGTTCAGTGTATTTCCATGTTTGTATCTTTGCAAATCTGGATTACGATCTGTAGAACTGCCAAGAAAACTACAGGATCTGAAGAGATGAACTGTCTGCAGTTGATAGATCCTGACATCTTCAGATGCTGATAGAACTTTCTCTGTGTGCTTAATTTTAGGGTTTTATACACAAAGAGTTTGTCTGTTGATTTCAAAAGACAGTATTTCTGTTTCTTAGAAAAAAAATCCTTTTTTCTCTGTGTTCTCACACATTGTTACAGATTCTGATATTGCTGCTGTTAGCAGGGGAGTACCTTGATTTTGATTTGTAGTAGATGCAGAATGGTGGACTATATATTTTTTTTTTTTCCCTTATGCAGAAAACTAACCCAGGAAGAGTATGAGCGTCAGGAGAAAGAACAGAAATTGTCTGCTGCAGATGAAAAAGCCGTGCTGGCCATCGAGGAAGTGAAAGTTTATAAGTAACTTGAGTTTCTGAAGATTATTGCTTTCTTTTTGTTTCATCCATTGAGGAAAATTCATTCAAACCTCTCTCCTTTCCCTCTTTTTCCTTCTGTACAGGCAAAGGATCCAAGATATGGAAGAAGAACTGCAGAAAACAGAGAGATCTTACAAGAACCAGGTAAACTTGCTTGCTGGTTATTGTGTCATCTTTTACTGCATCATTCCAGTGCTCTGGTAGTCGGACAAAAACCAATACTTCTTTTCTTTTCAGATCGCTGCTCATGAGAAGAAGGCACACGACAATTGGGTAAGAATGCTCTGCATTTTCTTATGCAAACAGTTTGTATTTGACTTCACATTGGTGCCATTAATTCAGTTGACAAAATTTTATCTACCAGCTCATTGCCCGCTCGGCTGAGAGAGCTCTGGCTGAGGAAAAAAGAGAAGCAGCCAACCTGAGACAAAAGTGAGTATGGAACAGACCCTCTTTATTCCTCTTTGAACGTGCTGTGTGTGTTGCTTGGGAGAGAAGAAGCTCTAGCAGTGCCAGGTGCTCATTTAGCTTGCTCAAAATGTGCAGTGCGTATTTGAGTGACTAATTTTAACCACTCTTAAACTGTTTTGGTGGTTAAAATAAGATCTCTTGGTGAAAGTGGTAAAGTTTTACAATGCAGTTTGCCTTGTTGCATTATAATAAATATAACTCACAGGTATTGTTTGAATAGTAATAAGAAACCTTTATTTTTCAAAATTAGATTAATAGAAGTAAACCAAAAAATCGTCATGCTTCAAAGACCAGTAATTGTAAAGCCAACTCCAGGCAGACCCGATCGCCAAGTCCCGCCACGACGAGGTAAATCCTGCTGGTTCTCCCAAAACTTTGGTCTTGGAGTCAGTACATCATAAAAAAATAAGGCTATTTTAAGTTACAGAAAAGTAAATCACGTGGTTTTAATTCTTTGGCATAGGTCCCTTAAGCAGAGATGGCTCTTCTGGCCCATCACCTGTGAGTGGAGGAAATCCATCCCCCACACAGATGATAGAAGTTCCTGCTCGGCCCCTTTCTGCTCCTCGAAGGGAAGGTGCAAGGGGTGAATTTGGTAAGCACTGAAGCTTCCCTTGTGTGACAACTCTTATGCTACAAACACAGGAACAGTAAGGTCAGATCTTGATTGTAGGGGTAGTGTCAAGTATTGATACCTACTTTAATAATACATAAACGAGGGGTTGGAGGGGAGGTTAATAGAAATAGCTCAAGGCCATGTTGATCAGAATCCCTGGGGTTCTTGTTTCCCTTAATGTACAGTGGTGGATGGCCCCCCTGCTCTACGAAGGCCACCAGAGTTACCTGGAAGGATGTCTGTTCCTGGTAAGTTATGTTTTCTGCAACCAACTGCATCTTATTGAATTACCCTTTGACTTCAAAAAGGCAATTTTAAACCCACCTTCCTTACCCTATGCACAATAAGACAGGCATTTGTGGCTCTCTTTACAGATATTGGGCCTGCTGTAGCATCCCTGATCAGCAGTGAGCCAAGAACCTCCTCCCCTTCCACAGCAATGGATGGAGTGGTAAGCTGAGAAAACCCCAACCCTCAGGAAGCATTTCTGCTACATGATGCACTGTACTTCTGCTCCTTCTTTAACTGTATCGTGTTCTGTCTTGTCTGTATCCTGTCACTATCCTTATTTGCTGTCAAAAAAAAACCCCAAAAGCAACCCTCTCCCAAAGAGTCTGAAGCCCCCAGTGTAGCTACCGATTCACCTTCATCCAGTGAACCAGCTGCAGTGAGTATCCAGAGGCTGAACATGGTGTTACGCTGCTGTGATGGAGAGGAGTAACAGGCTTGGTGTTCTGAACTGCTTAGTAACAAATGCTCTGCAGAACTAACCAGGGGCTCGTACCTCTGCCTCAAAGGGCTTCTCTCGTGATGAACAGTTGCTGTCTGGTTTTTGTGGAATTGAGGAAATGAGATGTTTCTTGTCAAGGACTGTGGGCAAACACTCTGGAGTGACTACAGCAATAATCCTAAGCAGCTGACTTACCTGTGGTGTTTAAGCACAATTCCATATGGAATTCAAAGTTCCAGGCCCTTTACCAAAGGGGGTGTCCACCGAGGACACTTTGAAAGGGATCGAACTTCAGCTAAAGAAAACTCAACTTCTCAGAGAGTTACACTAACCACTCACTCCTGGGTAGTGCCCGCAGTGTCCTGGGTAAAGGGAAGATGATGGTGCAGTAACTCCCTATTTTCTACCAGGTTAATGTTTTGGGGTATGTTGGTTTTGCACCTCTTTGCCTCTGGGTGAGTGGTTGTGGTGTTCAGCAGTGTCATTGCTTCTCCGATGCAGTAAGGCACTGAAGTATGAACCTCATCTCGCACAGGGTAATGCCAGTGCCAAAGGCCCGTCTCCTTTCCCTGGGACACCCATCATGCCCTCCCCAGTGATGGGACCTCCTCCTCCACCGCCTGTTCGCTACGGACCACCGCCACCTCCTCTCCGTGGGCACTTCGGGCCTCGACCTCACCCTGCGCCCCAAGGTACGGCTGCATCGCCCTGCGCTCAAACGTCCCTTCTGGGCATCTGACTGCAGAACCTAGATGTGCTTTTCCTTAATGCACCGCTTCCCAGTGCTCCGTGGGCTCTAGCTGTCTTGCTCAATAAGCTTGGACTGGGTGGGTTTTTTTCAAGCTTTCTTAATGCCAAGGTATTAAGAAGGTATTTTTCCTTGTTTAGTCTGAAAAGGAATCAGCAGTCTGAAGTCCCTAGAATATAATTCATGGGCTGTGAAGTTTGCACGTGATGGACCCCAGAGCTGCCCTAGAAAACGAAGGAAGTGAGGAACAAGTCAGGAGCTTCACTATCTAGCTTAAAGCAAGATTTCATTTAACTCCATGATTTCTTTTCCTTCCAGTTTGTGGTGCTCCCTTGCCACCTCCAGCTGCAAGAGATTTCTTACCCGGTCCACGTTTAGGAATAAGAGATTTGCCTCCTGGCCCACTCCCGCCTCCCCCAGATCCCAGAGGCTATGCACGTGGGCACCCTCCTTTTCGACCCCTAGGCCCTCCTGGCCCCAGGGATTATCCTCCAGGCCCACGGCTACCCCCACAAGCTCCCAGAGACTATACGCCTTCTCCCAACAGAGACTTGCCTCCCTCGGCACCCAGAGACTAACGTGGCTGCCGGGCTCCAAGGACTACGCACAGCCCCAGCACAGGGCCCTGAGGGGACAGCAGCTCCACACAGCTGGCTCTTGGGATCTAGGAAACGGCTCTTGGTTTGAAGACATTGGTCTCATTTCAGTATATCTCAGCTTTTGCAGGATTAATTTTTATCCAGTTGCTACAGACATCTTATGTGCATTTATGATCACAAACTCATCCATCCACTTGGGCTGCAAGAACCTTTTTGTGGTGGACTTGAACCTACTCTAAAAGTGCAATAGAAGGAAATACCTGTGTGGATAGTTTTAATTCTATGTAGCCTTTGTAACCAGTTGGCGAATGAACTAATTTCGTTAAAAATGTAAATCAAATCATTTCCTGTGGAAATAATTTTATAAGTAAAATGCTATCCAACCTGCCTTCTCCATCTCATCATTGAGCTGCAGTTACTGTAGGCCAAGGGTTTTCATGAGGACTCTGAAGATCTGGGGTTTTTTAAAAAAGATGTCTGGTCGGAGATCAGAAGCACAAATGACACTGTACTCAAAGGAAAGTTATAATAAAAAGCAAAATTCCTTTTGCTAAACCCTGAAGGCTTTGTTTCAGTGCCACTCTTTGTTCAGAAAAGACACTGGTTCAGTAATGTGACCAGAAAATTCTACACTTCTGAGTTCAAGAATTGAATCAAGGCCAAATTGCTGCTGCTGCAGGTTTAATGACGCTGTTACCCTTATGCTGGATTAGTCTGGCATGTTATGGACTTGTTTCACGTAATGAGGACCATGGAGGATACAGCTTCCAGAGCTGGAAACCCTTATGAAGTTGTGTAGTTACTGAGGAAACACAGGTGAACTCTCCACTAGATGGACTTAGAAATTTCCTAATTGCTTTCTGCTTTCAAGACCAGCTTGCAGCATTAAGCAAGGTGTGAGCCGAGTTTTCATCTTACTCAATGTTTAAGGCCAGTTTAAGACCAATTACTCAGTGTTTAAGACCCTAACCCAATTCAGCTTCTGTATTGCAGACACAGAACACTGAATAACTTTAAAAACACGCCCTACACTTGTAGCAGTTTGAGTATAGTGCAGGTATTTGGAATACCAGGCCCCTTACTGTCTCAGTGAGCAACGTTTCTCAAAAGTGCACAGCACAAAAGTAATCCTTAGGGAGGAAAAAAGGAAGACAACTAGGAATAATAAAAAAAACCCTACTGGGAAGGCCATTACAGCTTTACTGCCAGAGTACAAGCAGCCATTAAACTTGCCATCTAGGTGTTATATTCTTACAGTACAAGTGTAAAGCTTTAGATTCAAGATGAAAGACAAGCTAGAACATCACTGAAGCATAAAACAATACCAAAGCTTGTGGTGTGGGCAGCAGCAGTCCTTTCAGTGAGAGACAGATCACAGAAAATTGCAGGGGATAGAAGCAACTTTAAAAATGGTATTTCACACTCAACAGACATTAATTCACAATTAGTTAAATACAAAGCTCTACTTGTGTATTTAACAAAAATATTTCAAAGTTGGCATTTCTTATAACTGGCGTTAATACAGAGCTACAAGCTGGGGAAGGGTCAAGGTAAGCAGCAGAAACGACGGGTTTGTGGTTCAGGGGATAGGATTTCAATTGGCATGGTGGCCACCGACACACACGTTGATGACATACATGTTTGAAAGTCGGGTTCTCCAAGTTCAGGCTCTTTCCTTCTTCATACAAGGCTTTGTGATGTTTAGTGTCTCCTCCCTTGCCCGTCCCAGCTAGCGTGAAAAACTTAAGAGCTGGATGGAATGGCCCTCTGGATGCCCCAGGAGGAGGCACCTTCGACACACACAGGTGAGTGCAAGGAACAGGAGCAGAGCCGGACAGAGCCCCAGAACCCTCCCTTGCTGAGTGAGAGAGGCCTTCCAGGGACACTCGGTGTCACAGATCCTTCAGTCAGAGCAAGTCCTGAGCCAGCCAGGGACCACTGACAGGTAACACACCTACTGCCCAAGCTCAGAGTTATTTGCAGCCATAGACTTAACAAACACTTTGCTCCGTCCTTTTGCAGAGTTCAAAGGATGATGTTTGGTTGGTTTTTAGGAATGTGTGTATCCTCATTTTGTCTGGTATCCAGAATGCTGCACTCAGAGGTATTTCCATGACTTGTAGGGATAACTTTTCAGGGCTTGATACTTACCCTATCACCTGTAATACCATTGAAGTATTGTAAAGAACCATAAACAGGACAATTCAATTGGCCTTTTTTTCCCCCCTCCAACCAGCAGTGGAATCTGAGAAAGTGTTGCTGACTTCAGTCATAACACCTAAATAATGTCATCTCTAGATATACCAGAACAGAAGAAAGGCAAGAAGATTAGGACATTCAAAACCAGCTTTTTATCCTAATCAGTAAGGTAAAGCCAAAAATGCTGAACACCTGCCTGGAGATAGACAAGTAGCAGGAGGAAAAGTAACATCTCATAATGTAACATCTTGGGGTTATATGACAGAGAAGACGAATGGATGATACACCTGCATCCAGGCTGTTTAAAATAATTGACACTATTGTGGGAGCTGGGTCCTCAGTTAGCATAGCAGAGTATTCAGGCACTAGGTTAGATATGCAAGAAGTTTATCAAACCTTAAAGTATCGTATTAAATATCCACGCAAATATATCTGAAAAATTTGACTGGGTTCTACTTCTGTCCCTTTATTAGGTCAAAAGATGAATGCAAGTGTGTCATAATAAGCCAATGTCCTGCAGCTTATTACACACCAAATCAAAAATATAGAAAATAAATGATAATCCTATCTACTTACATAAAAAGGTAATTTTTAGAGTAAGTTTCCAGACTTGCACAAAATACGCAGAAAACTGCATACAATCAGTTTCCATAAGAACAGCAGTTTCATGTAAAAGGTGGGTCAGCCTGCTAGCCAGATCTGCTTTATACAAAGCTCTGGAAAATCAACATTTCAACACTGAGGGGCCTGTCCTGCTGTCACTGCAATGGCGAAACACCCACTGCCACCAGGACAAAGCCCTGGAGCAGCCTCTCTATCCCCCACCCACCTTTGCAAACCACTCTCTGACAAGATACAGAAAAAAAATAGCTCTATTAGGGAGTAACAGTGATTTAAAGGATTGTAACATGTATCCAAAAATCAGTACAAGTGGATCAGGCACGGCTGTTAAAATCATAGTTCAGTGTTCTCATCTGCAGCTGTCCTTCTCCTGACCTGACCACGGCCAAGCAGCTGTTGGAGGAGCTGTGCTGTGGCCGCCCACCTGACCTGCCCACCTCCTCTCTCACTTCAAAGCACCTGCAGTACCTCAAGCTCCTTCCCACCCCACCTCATCCTTCTCTCCCAGTCTTCTGCCACCCTGTCCACTACAGAGGACTCTGAAATGCAGATGAGAGGAACTACAATAGCACAGCAAGTGTAAACAGTTAGTAGGCCTGCCACATCTTTATTGCTGCAGGTTTGGCAGAGGGGCAGTCTCCATTCCCGGGTGGAAGTTGAGGCAAAAGGATAGTAATGGTTAAGATAAAAAGTGATGAACAGCAAACTTAGGAAAAGCAATCAACATATTTCAGGGCTCTCGGAAAAAACCTGTATCTGGAAGTTACTGAAAAAAACCTTGCACTTGCATGGTGGGCTTGCCCCTGACCCTGAAGTAGTGCTGTGCAGTGTGTGATGGTCCCGTCTGACCTACTGGCATGAATACAGTCGGATCTTTCCGCCCCTCGGAGGCTAAGGCTACTACACACAGCTACCAGGACATGTGGTTCAGTTCACAGAAGTCTCACAACTAGGGTCATTCCTTGTGCAGTGTTTGATGGAGGTGAAGGTAAAGTGGTTTCTTGGTCAACAGTTGCAATTTCTTCCTTTTAAAGTCAGTGGGTTTTTTGTACCTGTAACCACAAGAAAGTGAGTTAATCCAAATGCTGAGGGCTGCACAGGAAGATGATGAAGCTCGTCCTGTACAGATCTTACTACCCTAATCTTTTAAATACATCTGACAAGGCTTATTGGAAGCAACAATAATGAGTAGATTTACAGGAAGAAACTCAAACCAGTATTTTCTCTGGCTTATTTTTTTAACAGAACAAGGATTTCAATATGCAAAAGAGTGTAATATTTTTGTAAGGAGATTCCCAACATAATGCTCTGGACTGTAGGAGACCCGGTATCAGTTACTCAGTACTTCAGAAGTACTCCAGCTATCACAGACTAAGTGCTTTTCCTAGAGGTGCTCAGAATGGCAAGGTTCATCTTCTTGAAAAAAACCAACCCCCAAAACCCTCACTCAGACCTTCAGCCACACAGCAAGGGTAGGATGCACACCACAACCACTGCGGCATAACTGGCTGATCTATTTGTCTCCTTATTAGGGCAAGGAGAGAAAAAAAACACAACCACCCAATAATGCTTTGAAATGTTCATAAAATTTGCAAATTGGTACCTCATGTCTCAAATCATCTTTCCTTTACGGAAGTTCTGTACCAAAAGATTGTGAGCTGATTATTTTTTTAAAATATAGCTGATCTGAAAGTCAAGCTAAACTCCAAATTAAAATCTCCCACACAGACTTTGTTAACTTCATACAAAATCAGGTTACAAACACCAGCATTTTATTTGGAAATGGTCTAATTTCTGAGAAGGGTCTCTAGCCATCTTACTTGCCTAAAAACAGTTTATCTTCCCTTCTTTATTAAAAATAGAATATTCTTTGTGGAAGTCAATCTAATGAGTCCAAGAAACTTTCCTTGATGCAACAAGTCACACATTGTAACTGAAGTCTAGTTCATTTCTTCACTCATTGTCATCCATAATTTTGAGTCACTTACAGTTCTATAACAATTGCCCCAGGTTTAATTTCATCCATCTCCATGAAAGCAAAGCACTTGGTGCTAGTAAACCTTTTCTTAGGCTTGTAGTGTTTGAATTCAAAGAAAATAGCTGCACCTAGAGTGAAAAATGGTTTAATAGAGAAGTTAGCAATTATGGCTAATAGTTACCTGCCAAGAAAACTTATTGCTGCCCGTACGTTGGAGGGAATTATCTCCAATAATGCTTCTGTTACTTACTCAAAAGCTACTCTGTGTTCTTAAAATGCTCATCACTCTCACAACAGCTTGTCCTCTTCACTCAATTGCTCATACCAGGTAACAATGACTGAGCAGGTGATAAAGCAGCTCAATACCCGTGTAGTAGAGCAGACTGCTGCATTTTTATCTCTTTTCATTTCTCCCTTGTCTGCAAGTCATTGCAAGGACCAATTTGAAAGCGACAGGATGCAAAGGTCTATTTTTATCCTTGTCTGGATCTCAAGCCCTGCAGCACCAGCTCAGGCACAGCCTGTTTATTAGATCAGGAGCAGACCAGTGCCTGTGCTTCCAAAGCTCCCGGGCCCTGTTTCAGGTCCCTGGTACCACATACCTTTTGTTAGTCTTTCAATGTGTTTCTGAATCTCGATGTCCACATTAAAATGGACATATGTGTCCTCCTTTCTCAAAGCCACGGGAGTATCTTGCACAGGAGTCAGATCTATCCCATTTAAATCTGCAGGAAAGAACAGCATGAGAATGGCAGAAGCTTCTCAGACTTAAGGTCCTGCTTTAAAAGATTCATGAGTCACTCCTAATCCTGCTACAAAAAATAAATGTACACCTGGATTTTCCCCCTAAACTTAAAAAAGGGGCAATCATGCCTCTTCACAGTCAGTGCATTTTCTTCTTGATTGCAACATGAAAGCAGCTAAAGTGCTGACAATATTTCAGATGAAAAGCTGGAATTCTCCCTCTTTTTATTTTTAAGAGTGCATTTCTTTCTGCTCTCAGCAAAAGATTCCATTCCCTCTGCACACAGAACTCCAGCAGGGCTTCAGCCCGAGTGGGATATGCACCAAAGGCTGCCCTCCACACAGGGTCTGCAGTGCACAGCTGGCACAGCTTACACAACCTGGATATGCCCTGTCTTGTGCCTAGACCCAATGTCCATTATTTCTCTTGGTTTTTCCAAGGACAGAGGCATTGTGGGGCCACAGGCTAGACTCCAGCTCCCAGCACCGGCCACTGATTGTGCTGCTCAGGCACAGCTACCACAGATTCTCACTAAGCCTCTGCTGTTTTCAGGAGTACATGTGTCCTCTTACTCCCTCCCCTCTCATTACTGATCCCTTTCCCTCTGGCAGAGGAAGTTGCTAAGACATGGCCAAGATTACAAATATGGACATGTTGTGCTTGGGGCACAGGCTGAGGTTGGGGCCCTGGAGCACCACTGATGCCCTTCATCCAGGGTATGGGCTGGGATTTGCCAATGTCACATCAGGAATTAACCTCTTTCCAAACCTGCAGAAGAGCAGCTTGGTACAGAACCAAGGAAAACACCGCTCAGTGTCTTCAGACTCCTAATAGTGAGAAAAAGACTTTTCAGAGTTACTTTTCTTGACTAAAAATCTTGAGAAATAAAGTATCAAAAGGCACCATTAGCAGACTAGGTGATGGCCTGTCCCCCTCCACTTTTTGATCCTATTTTCTACGTCATTCCTTGGCAGTCACCATTTACAGGTAAGTGAGTTTGGAAATAGAAAGCCACATGTTAACAGGCAGACTTGTTGGGAAAGCAAGCCTAGCAATACACAGTCTCCCTTAGTTCCAGAAAGGAAATGAGAGCTAGCTCTGAAGGCAAGCAGCAGTTTTACCACTGTGTAATAAAACAAACACTTTGGTGGCAAGGAACAAGGAATGTTTGCTTTACAAGTTCAGATATGGACTCAAGTGACACCTGATACTGTGACCCTTCCTTCTGCCAGCGAACATGTCTGGTGGAGGAAGCACTGATCCCACATCTAACAAGTATTTAATCCCTACATTTGCTTTCCAATGGCACATCTAAAGAGGACACATACAAGGTCCTTATCACAACTGATAACCAGAGGCTGCTGGCTCAGCTACAAATTTTTATACAATAAACAAAAAAAATACCTCCAAAGATTGTAAAGAGAAGCAGAAGTCAAACAGGGCAGGCTAAGGGTAAACAACTTTGACTACAGGGGCTTCCTGCTAAGAAATGCAAAATGGGGAACAGACACTCCCACTAGAAGGAGTGTGAATACCAAAAATCTCAGTGTCAAGCAGAAGACATCAACCATGCTGCCATTTAAAACAGAGAAATCCTAATATTACCTATCCTGGAATGACAGAGAAAGAGGTTCTTCCAGATTCATGGAAGCTCTCAGAGGGGGAGGCCATTTGCCTACCATGCTTTGGCCAAAACATTTCACTGCCAAGGCTAACATATATTTTATATTTTATTTCACTTGCAAGCTTTGCTTCCCAGCTTTATACCCATTCCTCTAAACATTAGGGCTTGGTAAGATTATATTTGCTTTACTACAAAATTAGTTTATTAAGAGGGCAAGAATGGAGTCAGCAGGCTGTGGTTCACCATCTCCAGAAAGCCCAGAGACCAGTATGTGTTGGGGAGTACAAGCAGTCCAAACAGATCTGTACTTAGAGCCAGCTGAACAAGCTGGAATGGAGAAGCACTGCCTGCCAAGTCACTGACACTCACTCAGCTCCCAGCACGGGGAAGGCACCCTGGAGTGCGCAGAGAAGTGTGTATCCTGCACAGATTCACTTCCCAGTATCTCTCAAATACAGAATTTTTCCACCCTTGATTAAAGCAGAAGCCTTAAGTCCACGATATAAAATGCAAGTAACAACAAACATTTTTCCCAGTAGGCTGAAAAATCAATGCAGCTTTCAGAAAATGCACTCTGTCCAAACTAGCAGTGAGGAGCCAGGAACAGAAATCATTACCCTTTACACTGACAGTGATGTAAGGATCAATGCACTGCCCAGCATCTTTCAGACCAATTTTCTCTATGTTGATAGTGAGTAACGTCATCCCGGGTTCAGATGGCAATCTGGGTAACAAAGTACCTGGAAAGAGTAAAGCACATTATTAACCCTTTGTGTCATCTTACAGCAGAGGCCTTGCTTGTCCCATCTTCTCTCATGGAAGATGATGTTCTCCTTAAGGGGTTCAAAGCTCCAGGATTCACATCCCAGCTGTACACAGCACTATGGGAATGTCTGTGTGCACAGACACACAACATCATTTGACAGATTTCAAAGCCCACACGAAAAAACGAGGACTGTCTCAAGTCAAATCAATTCATGAAAAACTAATGCCATAACAACAGAGAGGAGCTTTGTTCAAAGTGTTATTTCTTGCTGTCACGTAGAATAACTCATTCATGGAACTCGCTTTATATCATTTTGGAGGATTGAATTTGGGAGGCTGGATTCAATCTGCAGTTGAAGGAGCTTCAAACACTTAATCAGGAGTCCCACCCCACTGAGCATGACTTGGCTTCATGCTGAACATTTACACCAGGAGATTAAGGAGGAAAATGGCCTTGGTGCAAATCCCACAGCACATAAGGGAACTAGAGGATTGATTCTCAATTATCTCTGTTCTACTGGCCTCTACTTAAAGAGAGAAAAAATAGTATCTGCATCCCCCAAGTTGGCTTCTGCCTTAAGAAAGGAGTTTCCAGCTCTGCATGAAGAACAGTTTGTATCAAAACTTGGTGGTCAGCATAAATGAATCCTCACAGTGCTAAGGAAGACTGTGCAGCTGGCAAGAAATCCAAACAGTTCAAACTTACTAAGAGCCATGATATTCTGTCATCAACAATGGAGTAGGTTATTTCATGCTGAATTTAGCAAAAACTGACACACTTCAAGCCTCTCCCCAGTATTAGATGAATTAGCACCAGAACAGAAAAAGTTCAGACTCAAGGGCAAGTTTGATTTAAAGTTTTGGTTTTCTAATGAAAAAAAAAGTTATCCCCAGGCTTAAGATCTAAAGAAAGTAATAATTTCCTTTGACAAGTCCAATATGGGTTTTTCCTTGATACTTTTTTTTCCTCTTGAGGAGCTGGAGAACCAAGTACTTGTTGCCCTGTGAGAGAGAATGACTTTGCAAGAGGGGACCATGTATTCTGCCCTTAGAACTAGAGCCACAGCTTCAGCAAGATTTCATCAGCATTCCTGAACCCAGTCTCCCTCTCAGGATCATTAGCAAGACCTGAACTCACATCCATGATGCTGTATGTTTCTGTATTCCCTGTCCTGGTGGCTGGCAGGCTCGTGGTCTCCAAAGTACCATGTCTGCAGCCACTTCACAACACACCACAGCAGAACTTGACCCACTGTTCTGAAGCAAAGACTTCTGATATTGGGTGAGAAATGTTAAAAGTAAACTCAGAAGAGAGCCCTCATTTCTGCAAAGTAGCACATGCTCGAGTTAACCTCACTGTCTCTCTTGAACAGACGTTCAAAGACAGAGTCCTTATTTCAATCTAAATGAAGGTAGAAGCAAGCCCCCCTTCTCTTTGGCACAAAACTTTGCTCTGCCATTTCTCAGTTGCCTCCTAAAAGCAGCACGGCCCCCAAGAGCCAGGAACAACTCGGCCTTCAGTTTTTCCTGTCCATCACTCAAAGGGTGATGTGATACTTGATAGAGAAATAACCAGAAAGATGCATCAGACTGGCATTTATTGTAAAAGTAATGGCCTAAGAAAAATTATTCTGTTTTTACAAAATGTTTTCCAGAATATGTGAAATTGCAGAGTTGCAATGAACAGAACAGTCAAGGCCACTTCCAGGAGATAAGAGAACAGTAGGACAGAAAGTTTCCAAGGAACAGTTTCCTTTCTGCCTCAGTGGGAGGAACAGTGGACTAGAGCAGCTGACTGTAACCTGTCCCACGAGAGTCACAGCCCCCCAGTCAGGCCTGGTGCTGAAGCCTCTGTAGCCACCTCAGACAGGAGCCATCAGTTGACAGTGGCCTCCCCATGGTACAACTTCACTGAGGCTGGGCACCATCACACTGCTCTCTGGCCCATGGGCCTGCAGCAGGCTCACACTGGGGCCTTTCAGGAGAAAACTGCCAGCCATTCCAGACACAACCACAGGGCATCTGTGCCAGAGCGGGAAGGAGCATCTACAAATGATGTAAGTGTCCTCCTACAAAGTGTGTTTCAGCCCTACAGCTCTCTGCCACCAAGACACAGGTGCTCAGTCTCTCCCTTCCCAAACTCCAATTCAGAGGTGGAGGAAAAACTGACAAGTCTGCTGGGTTCACAAATGAGAATGGTTCACAGAAGAACCCACTGCAAGCACAGCACTGGAATAAAGTCATATATAACCAGGAGAAAGGCAGGAAACCTTTGCTGTTAGAGGCAGCAAGCCATTGGTCAGTTCAGCTCCCTGCAGCACAGAAGTCTAAGTACTCTGTGTGTAAGATTTCCCAGAAATGTATATTCCAGTAAATAAAATCCAGCTACACCTACCCTTGGCTACACAACTTAGAACGCCTTCATTAGCACAGCAGGACTTCTAGAGAGCTATGTAAGGTGTGTCAACAGACACAAGCTTCACTTTTTCTGGTACTGAAGGCAAACAAAGATCAGTACAGAGGTGCCCAGCACTGCAATTGTTACCAACAACTGTATTTTGAGGATTGGAACTGAGAGCTGAATGAAGAACATCACAGCTACGAGAACATGACCAAAGAAATAACTGTACATACTAAAAGGTTCTCATACCTTCATTGGCTCCTGGGTTAGATGGATGGGGCAATGTGATAACGATGAAGCCATGCATGTAGAAGACAAGACCATGATCAGTTAGACAATACAGTCACACACTATGGATTAAAGGCATAATGAAGCAAGGAGTGCAACATGGCTCTGTTAATTCAATATGGGAAGTTCACTTCATTTATAAGGCTCAACACAGAAGGCTGCAAACTGCTGTCGTTTAAGCCTCATCAGCCAGAGGAGGAGCAACAGACCAACCTCCAATCAGGTAAGAAATCTCACAGTAATTTGCATTCAGTGGGGAAAACAAAATCTGTGTTAAAGCACTGCAAAACCACCTCAGGAGTTTAGATTATCGTAGCTATGGGGAAGTTTACCTTAATGCAAAAAAAGTAATTCAGAAAAGTCAGATATGCAGTCTATTAAATAGATGACAATGTAAAAGAGCAAGTAAGTTCACGAGTTGCTCTCATCTCCTCTTAAAAGCATGATCTTACTGAGAAATAATTCTGTAAAAAGTATATGCTCCAAACATCTCTTCTTTCAAACTTGGCTACCCTTCTTCTTTGAAAATGATGTAACTGTAAAGTCAGTCTGTTTATCATTAGCTTATATTGTTTCTTAAGTCCATACACAGCTTTTATGTCCACTACACGCCTACAGCTCTGATGGGCTGCAGAGGTACCTGTTGGTACTGTGGCAGTGGTCACAACCTTATTGATTCACCACCACACCAAGAGCCACTCAAGGTCTCTCTGCTGTACATTGGACAGACAGAATGCATCTCCATAAATGGATTTATCTTGGTGAATAACAAGGATCGAGACAGCAAGTGTCAGCAACCAAAATTCACAACACATTACAGCCTATTTGTGAGCTTGGCACAAACAAGTGTAGACTGTGCATATCTACATCAGTGCAGCCTGCAGAGATCACATTCAGTACCATGCCCTGGCTCACATCTAAGGACACAGACATGTTTTCTCCAGGTACAAGTAACGCAACACCCCAGCTCCTTCAACCATAATTCCAGTAGCAGTTTCCTTACTTCTTATCTCACTTCTGAAATACAAAGTTTGTCAACTGGCTCTGTTTCTCCTGCAAAGAAATTACACCAGGAACCTGAAGAACCTCCATTGGAACATCTAAATTGTCAGAACCTGAAGCTACAGGTATATCCAGTTCTACAAGTGCTTTCATGTGGACAAGGACTTAAGCTATCAAAACCAACATCCCCTCTTTATCCTCTCAGAGCTTGGCTTCACTCTAAGCCGCTGCCTTATCAGACAATGCAACACAAAAATAACCAGCAACAACTTATCACATCTCTACCAGGATGTGATGCTCCTTGCAGGAGAAACACTGCCACAATTTCCATTTTAATGCATTTGAAACACTGAACACAGTACAGTTAAGAAAGTGCCCGGGATGAAAATACTGAGCTTGAATAAGGAATAAAGGCTAATTATTTGAGGTAGATGGTACCACCCTCACAGGTTATTCATACAACTATTTCACAATGAGACATTGTTTGCTGAGTAAAAAATTCCCTGGCCACCTTTGTGGTTCTCCAATACAGCATAAGAGTTTACATTAGCTTGTTGCTCCTCATCCAAACTTTTCAAATCACAAGGGAGAAAGGAGCTTCTCAGAGACAGAACTTAAGAGATGCTACATATGGCAAGGCTAGTGCCCCTACCTGGAACTCTAGCAGGAAAAGAATTTGGAGACCCTGCTCCAGCTCCTCCTTCCTCATCATCCTCCTCAAACTCCAAGTGTTCCTCTTCTCCAGGTGCTAAAATCTTCCTGTAAAACACAAAAAAGAAGAATGAGACCAACAATTACTCGTCACCTGGCATTCAACTCACAAGCCAGCATCTGGGTACAGAGCAGGGACAACACGCTTTAATGTCATTTCATACTTCTTAACTTCTGCCTGTACCTATAGACTGACAGAGATTGCAGGAGCTCAGGCCAATAGAAAGCACAGTCTAAAAACAAGACACAATACTGGCAATTTCAGATGTAGGGATGTACCAAGTCCTGATTTTACCAAAAGTATGGCCTTGATTTTTAGTGGTAGCTAGAAAAACAGAACACAAAAGTTCTTTTATTAACCAGTTTACACAAAGCAGTACAGCAAGTTGGTGGCTCTAGAAACTCTAACCAGGCCCCAGGCTATGCTCCCTTTCAGACATGTATCTGTACATGAAGTGAACCAGTTCTCACTTACCTGAGTGGGACAGGCTGAACATCAAAGGGGAACTCCTTATTGTAAGTGAGGATATTCTTTAGGACTGCAGAGAGGGGAAAAAAATAAGAATCCATACTCATAAACCAGCATTAATTCTACTACTTTGCAAAGCTATCTACATAGATAGCTACATAGATATCTACAAGATCTAACAGCATCTTCACACACAAATAATAATAATAGTATTTAAAAAATAATCAGACCATACAAAAAGCACCCCTGTTCTCTCATATTTTAAACACAGCACAGTTGTATATATCACTTTAACATTCAGACAGGTGAGCTGCAACTCCAGCACGAAATCACCACCACACTCACACAGACAGGGAAGTAAATGTGGCAATAACCAAAAGCATCATGAGAAAAAGCTACAGATCCCAGGGTGACGGTAACAATCTTTGGTGGCCATTGAAAGGAGGGGGTGGTGTTACTGGCATCAGCTCCAAACAGTTCCACGTTACTGGTATCAGCTCCAAACAGACTGAAGCCTCCAGAACTGACACACTTCAGCACACATGGAGGCTGCACATTCAGGCAGCCACCATGGGAGACCAAGCGTGCTGGTAACACAAAGCTTTGGTGAGATTTCCTACTTCTTCATTTCACATGCTTTGTGTTTTCATTTGGTGGTGGTGGCGGCTTTGTTTGTTTTTTCTTTTTATCTGTCCTTGGATGTCTGGGAATGTTGGCAAAATTCAGAAGAGAGTGTAATATCTGAGCACCAAGCCCCATAGGCACCACCTATATCTCCAGCATTCTGTGGAGAACAGCTTTGCCATTTTTATTGGAAGCTTGACTCAAGTTTAAGTAATCACAACTTTAGCTATTATTTCCAGACACATTTACCAGTAAAAGCAAAACTTCCAAAAGCACATGAATGAAATAAGCATTTCATGACTTAAGGGCCTAAAAATTTAGAAGAAAACACCTGCTAGGAGAGGCACTCTCCTACCAGACAATGAATATCCCAGACTGGGTAGGGGGAGAGAAAAAGAAAATGTGATTCCTCTCACAGAGCCTCACTTTGCAATAAGCTCTCTCAGAGCACAGGAAATCTCCCTTTACAACTACTGAATGAGAACAAAACTCCTTTCAAACAAATGATTGGTATGATTACACAAATATCAAGAAGTGCTTAAATACCAGGTATGTTTAAGGAACCACTGCCAGGCCCCTCTGCCTGTGCTACAACTCAGTCAGTGGAGGAGAGCTTCCCTCTCTGTCTTCACACTCACATCAGCCAGCATGGGCTCCAGCATTAGCTTACCAGACACCATCTGAATGCTCTAAGAATGAAGTATCCCTCAGGGAAACTATAAAGAACCCAAAGAGTCTTTCCAGTCTTTACTCACACTGATTTTTTTTTCTGATTTCTGTACCACTGTATGAGAGGTTAAGTACTGCCTGATTCCAGCCAGACACAATACATAAATACAGAGGAAGGTTTAAGCTGCCTTCAGTGAGAGCTAGCAAACAAAACTGATGCTGTGTCTCTCTCTCCAAAGGCTTCTGCTCTAAAAGATCAGTAATGCAGATCTCAACATGAATCTTAAGAATCACAGACACTTCTCAACAGAAAAGAAGCTGATCAATAGCAGACAGTCATCTTCCAGTGCAGCTGAGGTCCAGGAAAGGAAGGGGATTTTTATCACTCTCAGAATTCCCCAGCTCTGGGAGAGCTACACCACACCAGAGACAGAAAGTGAAACTGTCCCAGGCAGAAAAATCCCAGTAAAGTGAGAACTCTTACAGATCATAGGGACATGATACAGAAGAGACAAAAGTTACAGTAGCTATCCTCCCATCTTCCAACAGTTGATAAGTACTAGACTCCCCTCTTCCTAGTAACCAGTTCTTCTCACCACGTGAACGAACAGCTGCTGAAAAAACCCTCCTAGTAATACATTTCGGACATCACTAGAGGGCACAAAATGCTCCACTGACACGAGCACAGGCAAGAGGCAACAGTTTTACAGCGCCTAAAATCCTGATCCTGCCCGAGGCCGGGCCGAGCACACACCCTCCTGCCACAGAGCCGCAGCCACGCACACGGGCACTGGGTGGGCACCAGACCTGCCCACAGGAGCTGCCTTCAGACATGCTGGCGGAGTTGGGAACAAAGCTAATGCTGAATGTTCAGCTCAGAAGCAGAATCTCTTGCCTTTTGCTGCAGAAAGCTATGGCTCAAGTTTTTAAAAAGGTTTCAGCTCTGTCTCATCGCCAATAGCAAATAATTTTTCAAAGTTGTAACACAGCAATTATCGAAGCGCTGGTTTAAACATCGTAAGGATAAGCAGCAAAACTACCACTGGTAGTTTTCACTCACCTGGTGAAATACTTATTCAGTCACTAAAAAAAAAGAAGCTAGTCAGTAAAACTTTGAGGAAAAGGGAAATCCTCTTTGCATCTACCACAAGTGTGAGTTTCAGTTGATTCAAATAAAAATAACCAGATCACAGGAAAAAAAATTAGGTTACAACAAACAGGAATCTCCCTTGTAATACCAAGTAAGACATCAAAGTTTTAAAAGTTTGGTTTGGCTTTTTTTTTGTCTCTGTTTCATTTTCAAAAATATGAATCACCCCTGGGAGAAAAGAGACCTTTCCCTTTGTAAGGGCTGCTGCTTGGGAACATGATTCACAGAAAGTTCTCCACGTGTGAGGCAGACTAATGGGAAGATCCCAGTATCATGGCCTCCACCTATGTTGTTTTCCAAGAGAAATCTTTTAAAAAATATTGTTCTGCAGGATCTCCTGTAGAAGCTCTCTTTTCTTTTGCGATGTTGGACAATACCACACTGATTTATCACCAGTTGGCACTTCCTTGAAAGATTTCAAAAGAAATTGTCAACATGAGCCATAAGACCAGAACTGTGACAGTGATTTTTTGTGATACCTGTAGTGACTTTTTTTTAAATGGACAACATAAAATAATTCAGATATCAGGCTCCCCAGTACAACCCAGTATCTACCTGTCTTATAATACACATACACTGAGTTTGACCCTAGTTGCTTAGTGGCTAGAATTCTCACCCAGGAGCACAGGCACAAGGGATGCCCCAGCCCATCCATTTGTACTGTGTATTCTAACACTGGTATAAGCTCCCACAAAGAAAAGGATTTGTGAGATCCAGTATGTTAACAATGACTTCACACAGCGCAGTCTCAAAAGAACTATTTGTATGTATGGACCCTCCCGTGGCATTATTGTAGCACAAACGATTCAGTGACAAATCCTGTAAACAAACAAAAGTAGCCAACTGCTTCACTTTCTAAGCTGCATGATATGTAAGCTCAAGCAGGAAAAGTTAGAACTTGAAAACACAAGGTTAGGGGAAAAAAAAAAAAAGAGTAAATCTAACAACACCCAAACCAAATTTCTCAGCCATTTTGACAGCTTCAGGCACAAAAGTAATTAAAACAAGCCAAATCGTGTGAATAGCTGTTTTGTGTGAATAGCTGTTTTCGTTCCACCCTAATGGAATGGCTTGACCTAACAAAGGAATCACTTATTTGCATTGCCAGCCCAGATTTTTTTAGCTTTTTCTAGTGCAACACAAAATAAAATTGACAACACACAAATTAAAACACTATTTTATGAGATGGCTGGTGTTGGCCTGATTAAGATTTACTCTATTCAAGATACACTTAAAAACCACAAAACAAAGGCACAATTCAGAGAGAAAGAGGCCAGAACGATCCAAGTCAGACAGCAGCATTAAGAACATCAATGTTCAATTGTTGTCATAGAGGCACCCGTTCTCCTCCAAGGAAAATAACTCTGTGTATTTGAAAACTGATGGCCACACACTCTTCCTCAGTTTTAATATAGTTGCTTGTTGTATGAGGCGTGGGCTGAATGCACTTCACACTGCTGAACAGTTTTTTTGACAGCTAAAAATCCCTTTTCTGATGGAGGGTAAGATAAGCAACAGGACTGTTGCACAGTAATCGAAATTTTGGACAGGATTCCCCTCCCTCTCCCATCATTCAGTCACTCACAGGGCATTTGCAAAATGGAGTCTAAAACCCACAGTCATTAAATGATTACAACATTTTAAATACTCTGTAAACAGAAGGGGAAGTATCTATACAAAACAAGCCCAAATCAGAGGATTCAGAGGCCAGATATGCAAGATGTAGTCTGAGAAAGACCAAACATTCCAACACACAGTTAAACCCTTTCCTGAGTTATGATCTTCACAGATCTGGTGGTCTTGTAACATACCTTCACCTACCATTTTCAGGGAACAGTTTAAAAACATTTGGAGTCTATGTTTTGGTAGAGATATTAGGAAGCTCAGCTCAATGTGCCACTTCTTGACAAACTTTTCCCGTAGGATCCAGTGCAGAGAAGCTCAGCCTAATCATGAAGGGGAAACACTTCCCTGCCCATCATATTTATCCCCAGGATCACTCTTAATGATACAACTGTCATAAGCAAAATGTAACCAACTTCTGTCAGCATGAAAACAGCTCTTCCACATCTGCTGTTCCCCAAGAACTGCAGAAACACTGACATTCATGATAATATTGGTTAGATGTGGAAGCTCTAATCATAAGGATGCTTTGAGAACACAGCAGCCAGTGTTACAGGAAGGAAAATGAAGCTGATAAATAGATACTTCCTACATGAAAAAGTTATTTCTAGATTGACATACCAAGACCTGACCCAGGATCAGTTGGGAAAAAACAAACATCACACAAAACCCTTCAAAGACTGACTCACATCCTCATTTTGACTCTTAACTTAATTAGTCTGGTAGCTTTATGGTGGGAGGTGACAAGTGATTGGCTACCATGAGCACAAGTTAAATATTTTCAGAAGAAAAAATAAATTTCATGCTGCAAGGAGGAAGACCACAAAGTGTTGAAATTCAGTTCAAGCAAGAAAAGTGCAGGTAAATGATATAATATACTACTGGATACCTTAAAATACTATTTTGTGCAAAAAATAGCAACACCTAAATTACTTATTTTAAAATAAAGACGAATATATTATCTGAAACATTCAGAATACTATACTTTGAAGTCACCCACATTACATTCCTAATACACATCAGTTTTTGTCTACACGGTAGCAGACATTTGGAAGAACCACCTAAAACCACATTGTGGTCAGTCAGTATTTGTGGTGCTGTCATGTTTTCCACTGTCATGATAAATGTCATTCACTTAAAACACAAAGATACTACTTACTTGGTTCCAACTTCTTCAGATCCTCAAGCTTAAACTCATCCTGTGATTGGGTGGACTAGGACATTACAAAGAAAGAGTTAAATGTTAGGATGCACCCTCCTCTCAGACAGAGCTACCAGATCTTAGAATAAGCATGCAGGGTGCCTCCTTTGTTCAAGTGTACTGGTTACTTCAAAGCTATGTGCTAAAGAACCCAAATAAAATTTCCCCAACAAAGGGTAGGTTTCACAGGTGAGGCAGGAAGGATGTTACTTCTCATTTATTGAGAACAGACTTAACCCATGTTCCAAGCTCTAATGCAAGATAAATATTTTTAAAGTGACTAGTTCCAAATTTTTACTTAATACACACAGGAACATTCACAGTTCAACACTGAAACATGGGCAGAAATTACAGCATACAGAATGAGTTTGACAAAATTCAACTAAGAGCTCACTGCAAATGGAAGAGGAATTACCACCTCGCCTTTCTCCATGATGCAGTTTCCTCATCTGTCTGTAGCATATACATGTCTGGTTCTCAATAAGCCTATTTGACTTACTAACCCAACAGAAAAACTCTTAATTTTTTGTTCTGAGGTAGCTCACCAGCAGTTTGGTAAGATGAACTAGCTTGTTCTGAGACAACAAGTGGTGCAAATAAGAGGATTGACATTGGACGTCCTATTTTAGGTGGAGGATCAGGTCTTACCTACTACGTCACTGCACCCTTGGCATCTCTTAAGATTGCCCATTGTTTCCAACATTTAAGGCCCAATGAGGTTTTTTCTTGATTTTGTCCAAGAGTGGCTAGGGACCTTCTGCAAGACTATGTGAGGACAGCAAAGTAGCTATACCCTTCCTGTTAGGAGAGTGGGAAAAGATGACCACACTCACTGCTTTAACCTCTCCTAAGAAACCATAACCAAGCTGCAGGAAAACAAACCCCTCCTCAAAGCGAAGTGGATGAGAAGTTCCAGTAGCCTCACATGAGGTTAGAAAATCTTTGAGTTACTGCTGAGGAATCAACAGCAAGGAAGGCTGTTTTTGCACGAGATCATCTCCTCAGCTTGGCAGGTTATGACATGGCTGCACCTTCTGCTGTTGCCCCGAGACGTGTCCCACAGTGGAACACGCCTGCCCTCGTCACAGTCATGGTGACCCAGAGCAAATGCAACACTCCTCAAACACCCCAGGTTAGACCAAAATAGAACGACAGGTAGAGATAACCAAGGAATTCCTCAAACACTGCATGGCCTGGAGACTGGACAGCCTCACCTCATCAGTCCAGCTCGAGCAGGTGTATCCCAGCCTCTCAGGCAATTGCAGGCAGCACAGTGGAGCTGCTGCACCTTGTAGAGCCACACGAAGTGCTCTGCAGTGCTGCTGTGAGTAACTTGATGCAAAATTTGCCTTTCACCACTCTTGGTTGGTAAAGAGATAATCCAGTAACCCCAGCTTCACTTCCATTGATTCATCCCTTCCCTATCCACAGTCTTTTGGAAACTTCTCTCACTTGCCTTTCGTTTTAGGGATAAGATTGTGCTGAGAGAAAAAGATATTCACTCCCATGACATCAACTTTCAGTCTAGAAAAAAGCTCAAACAGCAGTTTATAAACCATTGTTTTCCCACATTTTTCTACAGCACTGCCAGTTTTCATGACTGCTAAAAAGTCATTTTAATTCTACACACACACTCTTCCTCATGGTCTATTATGACTTGTGAAGCAGTTGAATTAGTGCAAGAGTCACTCATGATTTTTTTACCGTTGCACACAAGTTAGGAAGACAAACTAAACAGTTCTGAAGGAGGAAAATGAGGCAGAGAACCAAAGACACAAAATGTGCAGTTAAATTCCTGTAAAAACCCTCACGGATGCTCATATACACACTTTAAGTCCTTTTTAAGGCAGTCACCTGGGGCATCATTTTGACAATCTGGAAATTCCAAGTGTTCAAGGGTTTGTTCACCTTGTTTTCAGAAGTTTTAGCTATTTCTGAAGACACTAAACGAGCTTTAAAAAGCTCTGCAGTTACCTATTGCTAAAGGATGAAGTCACATAGGAAAAAGAGTGATACCTGTAAAGCTGCACTTCTCAGTTCCAAGCATGTTGCAATTTTAGCTATGGTTTTCTGAAAGGAAAAAAAAATACAATTTAGCACTGAAACGGTATTCTTCCAGATTCACATTTTTAAAGAATATAAATACAAACAATTGCTTTTTCTTGCAAAGATTTCAGATCTATTATTCAGTACCAGATCGTTCAGCATGAAGAGCTTTTTTTATACACAAGATTTTCTGAAAGCACAATTGATGAAACGGACATCTGCCACTTAACTCCCCTCCCACAGCCCAGCAACACAGATGGGGGTCATTCACTCAGCAGAGACTGTAATAATGCCTCTCACATCATAAACTGTTTATAAACTCAACTGCTCTCAGGTGATAGGGGACTGAAGAAAAATAAAACAAAACAAAACCAACCAGCGTATTAACTTCTGAGAACTTGGGTGGCTTGTTCTTATTTGCTCTTTTAGGAGCCATCCCTACAGCTCCTCTATCAGGTTCATAGTCTCAGCAAACCAAGTCCACCCTCCTCAGATGTTACAGCAGCACTGAAAAAACACAGATCGCTTCTGCAAGTTTCAGTGGAAGTATAAAGGTGGATTATTTTTCTAACTTTCTATTTTTGTCATTTTAAGAGGTTTAAACACCAAGTGAATCATGGAATATATTCTTCGATTCAAACTTCTCAGCAATCTAAAATATGTCTGACCATAACTGAATTTCTCATTTTCATTTAAAAATGCAGAACAGCGGGAAGGGCTTCAAAACAGCCCATTGCAAGCAGTCTTACTCTGAAGACAGTGTTAAGCTTTTAGGTCTCACAAAACAGTCATGTTTGTTTCTGTCACTACCAGCTGAAAGGAGGAGTGAGGACTTCCATATCTCTTATCAAGTGGACACAACTGCCCAATGTATTTTACTTTACCTTGCCATCACAAGTTTGTTCATTAACTAAAACTTTTTGTTGAATTAAAACTCAGACTATCTGCAGAGATAAGGGCCAGATATAAATTCAAAATGCTCTGTGGAACATTTATAAGGCAAGAAAACCATCAAGAATGAAGCTATAAAGAAAAGCAGTTTATTTTCAAAGTAAGTTTTCCCCCAGAAGGAAGATTAAAGTTGAAACATGCACCTGTAACTCATTCTCTCCTTTTAAATCAGGCAGTATTAAAACAGCTCCCCCACAAGCTGGATGTAAGGGGAGGAAAAGATTTCCTAGAGCACAACTCTAGCATCAAAGAACTTCAAGAGCATGGGTACCTGGCAAGTTATGCAGTGTCAGTCAAAAGCGAAAATGGAGGGTTATATTCTTAGGGCTCCAAGAGGTTGGTAGCAGCAGATAAAAACTAGGTACCTTCCTCGGTCATCTGCCCTGAGAGATGTCACAACTCCTCCTCAATCAGCTCCTGGGCCACCACTAGTTTCATTAGGCTGGGCTAAAAGCTAAAGGACTCCAGTTTCAGTTCACCTTAGGGCACACTGAAAGGTGAAAGAGTTCAGGAGCTGAATCATAAGCAGATCAGACACCAACACCTCCAGGGCAGAGCCAACAGCTGAAGTGTGCAAAAGCCTCAGATACCTGATTTTCATCTGCCACCACAGGCTCATCAAAGCTTTTGGAGCCATTTCTCCCCAGCTGACATCTCCTCTCGCCTTAAACATTCTGTTACAACATGGCATTGGGCCAGACTTTACTTTCTCATAGTTTTTACTACTGTCCATTGTATGGAGGTCTTTCAAAAAATTTAGTTCTTCTGAGCACCTTCCAGGAAAGCAGCGAGTGCTGGGTATTAACACAGGACACACAGTTTTCTCCTCTGCCAAGGATGCAGCACGTGCAGCATACGCAGCAGCACTGTTTGGGAATTTCAGCATGGAGTAACATGACCATATCCATGCATGCAACATGGCAGAGAAAAATATTAACAGCTCCATTTCTGTGGAGGCTCATTTTGCAGCCTAGTTCAGTCAACCAATTCCCACCTCCCCAAAATAAATTCTGCTACTACATAACAGAGACCCATGACTGGATCTCCAGCACAGATTATAAAAACACAGATATTTTCAAAAACAAAGGAGCACATACAGTCCTGGATTCACGTTGAGATTTCCAGACCAGCACTGCACACATGGGTGTTGTGGATTTATCTACATGTACTTTCAGGCTGGATGGGAGGACACCAGGTAGCACTATAGAAGCAGATTCTCAGTTCCTATAATTATAAAACACTACATCCACCTAATGAGATGCAGTGTGACAAAAGTAATTCCTTTTCATATTTGAGAACATCTGGAAAAATTCATTTGCAAAGGTAGATTCTCAAAGAGGAAGGTGTGAAGTAACGGGTAAAAGAAAGGAATCCAGAGGTTCCCTAGGGAAGGGAGGGGAATCTCTGAGGTTTGACTGCAGCTCTAACATTTGCAAAAACCCAGCTGTTTCAATGGTTTGGGTGTTGACTGCTGAGCAAAAAAAAGCATGCCCGTCCTGTGTTAGATCAAAATCCCTCCAACTACACAACAGAAAGAGGGCTACAAGTTTGCAGGGTGCCAGCACAGTCTTTGTGCCCCATCACAGAACAGATTTTCATGTGGCTCTTCTCCTCCTGGTCCCTCATGCAGAGCATTAAACCCACACCATAAGGGAGGTCTCAGAAACACCACTCAAGCCCTATGTCTGTTGTCAATTCACCAATAAGTTCAGCAACACCACTATTCCCTATGCTGCAGATTCATAATTGTGTGTTCTGAAAACTGCCTGAACTAGGAACCTCCTAACAGAACAAAGAGCAGCACAAAAATGTGTGTCCTCCGGCTCCTGGGGGCTGAAGGGCAATAAATGGCTCTAGAAACAGATTAATTTAAGAGAGTTTGGGAGTCTTAAAATAGTAAAGAATAGGTTTTATATGGAATCTATTGAAATATGGCAAGCTCCCAGCAGGCATTATTCATAACTATTTTTTTAAGGGACCACACCCAACCCAAAAGTTAAAAATGCAGCTAAACACTGCTATCATTTTCAGCTGCAACTATCCCATGCAAAGGCTCCTTTTTGCAGCAGGGAAAACATTCTGCATCTCATTAGAAAGACTGAAGCCGTAATTAACTTTGCTAGTTTAAAATAGTTAAGATTCAGTTTTATGTAAACTTGTGATTAGAACGGGAAAAAAAAAAATCAGTTGATCTCGTAGTCAAGGTTTCTTCAGTGCAGTTGTGTGAGTAATGACTGTGCTAACTGTAATGCAGTCAAAGATGTTTGCATAAATACAGAGCCAGAGCGGAGTTTGGCTTTAACGAAAGGTTTAGGCTGTTAGAAGACCAGTAGTTTAATGAATCATGCTAAAACTGTTCAACAGTGCTCTTATTTCAACAAGTTATCATTGCACAAAAAGCACGATTTTCTAATGCTGAAGAGAACTCAGCCGAGCACAAAAACAGTTACACGAGAAGCAACAACTGCGGTTGGGAGAGGGCTTTAAAGGTCACATTTATTGCATAGAGAACTGGGTGAGAGTAATTGTAGCTGGAGGCAAGCTGACAACCACGGCCAAACCTAACTGGAACAATTCATATCGCAAAACACAGCGGCTGGTCATGAATGAAGACAGGATTTTTTAGAGAATGAAGGTAAAATAATGAACAGGAGGATTGAACATGTTAAGACTGAGGTAAATTCACCAGTAACTGTATCTGCTAATGTTCCATACGTGCAGCTTCTAGGTGATGAAACTGTTGCCCGGCCTCCTTACAGCTGTTGAAGGGTGACTAGATTTAAACACAGTGATTTTCTGTTTATAGTATCTGCAGAGAAATTCTTCAATAAAATTCACAATCACTAATGAAGATTGCAGAACTGTTGATTATCCAAGTGAAGATAGAGCCTTCCCTAAGGACTGAAACTACAGAATTATGTCCAGCAATAGTTATAAGATGACAATCCCTCAGAAGTTGAAAATACAGGAATGAACAGCAAAATCTGGAGACCAGTCTGCTCTATCAAGGCAAGCAGTATACAGTGTTTCAAAACAGACTCTTCAGATCAAGAGCAAAAAGGCAAGATATGACTACTAAGAAGTCTGAATTCTTATACAAACAATACATTTATTATAAAATAAATGACAACTGGCTCACAGTACGCCTAGGAAAGAAACTGATGATATCTGTCAAGTGTTTTTAGATTAACAGATTGCACGATTAGATTAGCAAGTAACACACCATCAATTATGGTGTTGCCATGTCTGCACTGTAACACCACCTGTGATGCACGAAATAAACCCAAAAGTGGTAAAAGTTTATACAGGCAGATAGGGCAGAGGATTTGAACTTTGTCTTATCCTTTCCCCGTAGCTGTAAAGTGAGTAGCTTTCCCTTGGTACACTGCTGAAATCCACCTTCCCTACAGAGTACACCAAGCAAGAAATAATGACAGCCTCACAGTAATTCTCAGCAGTATGGAAGGTCCTTTGGAAAACAGATAACTGGAAATCTATAAAAAAATGGAATGGGGGTAGATCAAGCAACTGGAAATCATAATGAACTTCATGGCCTTTCAATCTGTGAAATTCTGTGGGCAGCCTTGGCCAGTGATATCAGATAAGCAAACCCTGAAGTTTACACACTCTTCTACATTGCAAAAAAATGAAGAGGTGGCTCTTATACAACATGCAGAACCTTAGAAAGTCAAGATAATAGGGAAGAGGCTTTTTGGAATCACGAGGAAATATCATGTTGGCGGATGCACTGGCAGGAACAGAGTTGTAGCTGTTTTGGTAGTTGATTTCTTAAAGGGTGGTGAGAAAGAAGATACACTTCTGTTTAACCAAACTGCTTGCAAAGCCAGCAGTCTGCCAAGTGAATGATATTAGCAATGACAGTAATTGGTCATGATCACTAAATGATATACTGGCTGAGCTCCTGCAGAAACAGGGAAGACCAGAACAGCAAAGACCTTTACATAACACTAAAAGGTTTTGCTGTAAAGCATTTTAAGTGCTTCTTTCAAAGCAGTAGGAAGACTCTTAAGTTTTGCTGTGACTAGCATTCCTCATGGTAGAGGAATGTTCTTCCATGGAGAGTGTTCTTCCAACAAAATATTGGGGAATTGGGCTGTGCATGTGGCTAATCAGACAGTTACTGCCATTTGATAACCAGACTCAAAGTTTCACTGCATCAGCCACTTGCTGATCTGCAAAAAATAGCAAGTGATATAAATGCAAACCTCTTTTGTTAATTTTATCAGCCTCAGAAACAGGTATCACTCTGCAAAGATTTAAAACCACCACTCTTTACTTTTTTCAGAAGACTGTTGCCTTAAGACATGATTATAGTTGTGCATCTCACATCTGAGGTCAGTTATCTCCACTTCCTGAGCCCCCCAGGCCTTCCCTCATGGCTGACCTCATTCACTTCCACAATCTGGTCCAAGGTCCTTTTCATAAGACTCAGGGAACATCTGGAAGCAAAGCCCTGTGCGGTTCTGGTTCCCATACTCACAGGAGATGATGTCTCCAGAAGTGAGATTAACAACTTTGCCTTCATGGAGTAACTACATTTTTAAAAGTCTCCGCAGAGGGGAAACACACTGCAGAGATAACTGTAGCTGAGAATGATGGAGGAAGCTACCAGCAAGGGAGAGAGAGCAGAAGCAATCAAAGAGTAAACAGCTGTCCAACATTAACAAGGCTCTCAAGGCTTACAGCTCAGGAAAAGTGGACCAAATCCTTCTCCAAGATTAAGACTTGCTTTAAGGCAACCATGAGTTTTATCACCTTCTTTGCAGCAGGTAAACAGAACATGCAAGACCAGCTCCTTGCTTTTCTTATTGGTACACGTTAAGGAAACAGTTACAAACCTCTGTCAGATTCTACAAAAGGTGCATTTCTTCATAGGAGTTTCTTTAAACACATCAAGTTCATCTTGAATTTCTGTAGCCAGGACCTGTTACTCCAGCACTCTATTATCATGAGACTCTGAGCTAGCAAATGTCAATTTCCTGGTAACAGCATTGCTCAAAAAAGTGTTCTTATGACCAAGAAATCTGGAAATACAAGTCTCTAGTTTGGTATTCCTAAGAAAAGCATGTCTTTATAGGAGACAAGAAAATTTAACAGGGCCTCCTATCTCAGAAGATTTTATTTTGCAGTAAATGCTTGAGCATATGAGACCCCAGTTAGCACTGTCCACTTAATTTCACCACAGAACTGCAGTAGTATGTTACTGAGACGAGAAACAGCCTTTTCAACTGAGGGGAGGGAGGGAGGAGTAAAGTAATTCCAATATTTTGAAAGATTATAAACAAATTATGTTCTAAGAGGCTACTAGGGAGTATTCTGCCAGGACCCTTCCCTGTCAGGTGTTACATGTTAAGCTAACATCCCCCTCACACACCCTCCATGTCTGCAGTTCAGGACATTTTGTATTTAGACCTCACAACATAAATTGTACTAACATTGAATAAGCAAGTTATCAAACATCACCCCAAAAAAGAAACACCCAGGTTACGAAGGACTCTGGCCAGCATGCATGACATTTAGTGCTACACAACTGAGCATCCGTCACATCTCATGACAGCAACTGTTTCAGCCATGCTGGGCTCTGTTTCTGTTTGCATATACTGAGGGAGGAAAAAAGGTCTCACAAGGCTCTGGCCAGCAAGATAAAAAAACATAACACACATCAACATCTCTGAGTCAAGCTCCTTGACTGAGCAAACAGCAAATGCTCACCTTTTGATCTTCTGTGAATTCCGAGTTGTTGTGCTGAGACTGCGCCTCTTTTTGTAGGTGCCTTGCTAATCTGGATGGGGGAAAAGAAAACTGTAGAGTGGGAACACAACATAAACACACCCCCTTCCCCTGGTTCCACAAAATGTGTCAGACAAAAGGTCCACAGACTGCTGCTTCAATCAGTTTTAGGGGGTTTTTTTGGTTGTTGTGTTTTTGGAGGTTTTTTTAAACAAAGTTTTCTATAGCCCTCGTAGTCCATACTTAAAAAAACCCCAGAAGGTGGACAAAGTGACAAAGTATGGAACCACATCAGGCAGGAAAGGCTACGTATATAATGCATCATGAAGGGAGAACAGGCAAGAAGGTTCTTCTAGCCAACAACCCCTTTTATAAGCAATGACCTTTTTTCTCTCACCATCATCTTCTTTTATCCTAACAAACTGTAGCCCCTGTGAAGACTCACTGTGGTACAATCCCACGTGCATTTCACAGGGAGAGTCTGAGACACGTCAGATTGCCAGGAGGCAAGGATTGCCAGGGTGAGGGCACCCCGGGTGATGGCACATGGTCTCCCAGCGCTGGAAGGCAGGCACAGGGCTGCTTGGCCCAGGCTGCCGGGGTGGATCAGCTCACATTTGTGCCTGTCAGCATCCCAGGCGGAGCAGAGACCCCACCCCTTGTCACCACGGAGGCGGGAGTACCAAGAGTTCCGAAAGTAACAGTAAGCAAACAGCTCGAGAAAGCGAAAGGAAGCTGGAGGGAAGCTATGGGAAGAGTTACAGTTTCCGTCCCGGGAGGAAAGAGAACATTAAACAAGCAAAACCTCTGGGCAATTGTTGCCATTCCCTGTAAATAATATTTTACAAGCAGAGCAGGAGGGAGGAGGGGGGTTGAGGGGAAACCCAGGGACAGCAGCAGTACCCAGGACATGGCAATACTCTTCCTTCCACCTGGAACATCCAAGTTTGCACTGTTAAAGGGATTCTGCTTCTCTCCACCACTGCAGGGGGCATTGGCTTGGTTTCTGGGCAGAGGTTAAAATACATATACCAAGATGCACACAGCAGAACAGATTATCGTCAAAGCCTGTGGCAGAAACAAAGACCAGAACTCAGTTTCTTTGCTTTTTCTCAAAATAAACTCTCTTTAAAAACTCTGTAAGGATTGAGGCAGCTGTAGCTTTTAACTGGAACCAGTGAAAACACAACCAAACAGGACGAGTAACTGCACAACGCAGTGCTGTTGTCCCCCTTTATAAAAAGTAATGATTTGAGAAAACATCACCATAGCAGCAACATGCCACCCACAACAGGCAGCATCACAGCATTAACATTTCTGCAAGCATCAATAACACAACCCTCTTTCCATTTGTCACTAATAAAAATAAAAAAATAATCCACCCTAATCCAAATAAATGCATCTGGCATCCCACTTGAGGCTCATTCAAAGTTGGATTAGACCAAGTTCCACAGATGGGGACGTTCAACAGGGAAGCCACTGCTAACAGCTTGAAGGGCTCCTGTGTGAGTAAGCACACGAATGAACGAAGGCCAACCTTTGCACCAAGCGTCTTGCATTTCCAGGAGTAACAAAGACCTGAGTGGACGGACACAGGAGGTAAATAACTTTTACGTGAGCGTCCATCAGGACTTAGCTTAGATTTGGGAAAATCTTTGTCAGCATCAGAAAGCTCACTGTAACCAGCTTCTCCTCAGGCTCCCGGTGTTGATCAGTATAGACTGTGGTGGTGTTCACAGCATCTGAACAACAACAGCACCACATTTGTTCATCCCAGCTCAGGATGCCATTGGAGAGGGCAACAATAAAAACCCACACTGTGATGTCTCTCCAGAACTACAGGTTGGTATCTTGTCTGCTGCTTCTTTGCAACTTCTACTCCACAGCTTGCAATTGTTAATTTACCTGCTAAATCTACAAACAGCAGATATACATAGAGGAAAGGTTTTGCTCCTCCCTAGGAATTACCTCCCTGTAATCCCTTGATCTTCTCTCTCCTTTCTTCTCAGTCCTGGAACCACACAGTTCATCTGCTGAGGACTACTCAGTAGAAACTCACTGATAAGAGCAGCTTACAACACACCACTACCCAAGAGGAGCTTTCTTACAAAGATATCACACTGCTCCAAAGTCAGAGCAGAGCCAGGGCGTGGAGATCACCTCAGTTCCCGTCTGACATAAGCGATAGAGGGAGGAAAGGAACAGAAGTTGTACTTCGGCTCTCACACTGGACTGTCTGCAAATGTTTAGTGACCTCACCTGTCAGTGAAGTGTGATCAGAAGGAAAAGCACAAAGACTTTTCATTCTGAAGAAACATCATTATATAAAACTGGCTGCTGAGACTGCTAAGATAGTTTAAAGCATTAGGATCCTACTGGATTCCTTGTAGATATTCACGTAAGGGCAGTTAGTAAAAATATCTTCTTTTACTTTTCAATGATTTTTTTTTTTCTGTCAAGATACAGATCTGAAAGAGAATTTCTTTTCATCCCTGTGCCAAGGTTTGTATAGTAACAGCTTGCCCTACTCAAAAGACCATCAGAAAACTGCAAATAACTGAACTTGCATCATCCCTCCTGATAAGTGAATGAAATGATGAGATTACAGCCTCTCACACCACGCTGTCCATGGCCAGGAGACTTAGTTACTCTGAATGGCAACTGAACTGGTAGCCAGTGTGGTTACAACCCATCCCTGAACAGTGCTACAAGATCCCTCAGGGAGCATCCCTTCAGCTGACTTACTCTTGGGAACAAGTGCAAACACTCTTGACGACTTCCATAAAATTCACCAAGAGAAACTTAGCCTGAAATACGTAGATCACAAAGAAACAACTTTCACCTTCATGATGAATGGAGTAGTAGGGGAGAGCATCTGACTAAAGCTACCAGGTGTGTTACTAAGGATACCAACAGTACTCTATAGCCGATACTCCTCTGGTGCCAGAGGATTCATGGATGGTGCAGTAGCACCCAGTGCCACCAAATCTGACTGGGGTACCAGGTTCCTCACATTCCCACCCCGATTTCATCAGGAGCAAAGCACACAAGCGTGTGACGAACCCCTTTTCACTCTGCTGGGTTGGTTAGGATTTTTTTTTTTTCGGTTAAGGCTAGTGCTTCTGCAGCCCATTTGCCAGGTCCCCCCTCCCTTCCCCACACGCGTGGGGCAAACAGGGCGATGGGATGGAAGCATTCCGGCCCAGGGTTGCCGCGGGGGCTCCACCAAACAACCACTCCGGCGGTCCACGCTGGGGTTGGAAGGGACCCTAAAGACCATCCCGGTCCACCCCCGTGCCATGGGCAGGGGCACCTCCCGCCAGACCCGGCTGCTCCAAGCCCCGCGCCGCCCTCGCACAGGGCAGGACGGGCCGGCTCCCGCCTCGCCCACGGCCGGGTTCCCGCGCCGAGGGACACCCCGACCCCCGGCCCCGCGCCCTGGGGAAGGGCCGGGGGGCCCCAGGGGTGCGGCGGCCACGGCCTGAGCTCGGCAGGGCCCCCCTGCCCTGCCCTGCCCCGCCCCGCCCGGGGCCGCTCCCTCCCCGGGGCCGCACTCACATCTGGTACTCGTCGATGGCCTCCACCAGCTGCCCCCAGGAGTCGAAGTCGGTGCCCTTCCTGAAGCTGGCGCCCCAGCGCTGCAGGAGGCTGCGGGCCGCCTCCGACATAGCCCCAGCGCTAGGGCACCATGCTCACCCCGCGCCGGGGCACCGCCAGCGCCGGCACCGCCCCGCCCGGACCCGGGACACCCGAGCGCGGCGGCGGCGGCGGCGCCTCCCGCCCGCACCGCCCCGCACCGCCCCGGCGGGGAGGTGGCGCCGGCCGCGCCCGCCCCGCCATCGCTACCGGGGCAAAGGGGCCCTGGCGCCGCTTCCGCCTCGGTACCGCCATGGCGCCGGTCACGGGGCTGCGCCCCTCCCTCCGCTCCGCCCTCCGCTCCCGGCCGTGCCGCTGCCGCAGGCCCGCCCACAGGTAAGCCCCGGCGACCCCCGGCAGCGCCGCGGGTGCTTCGCCCTTCTCGGACGGCCTCTGCCGTCGCTGCGGTGCCGGTGTCCCCCCGCTCCCGCCTGTGTTGGTGGCGTCGAGGCGTCCTTCCCGCGGCAGGACCGCGGGCCCCGGCCGTGCCTCCGCGCCCGCTGTGCCGGGAGGAGCCCCCAGAGCCGCGGGGCTGCGGCGGGGGCGGCCCGGGGACACCGGGCGGGGAGGGGAAGGGAGGGGACGAGCGGCGGGATCGATGCGATCGGGCCGCGGCGGGGGGACGCCATCGGCTTTCGGCTGGCGCTGCCTGCGGCGGCGGGCGCGTGACGCGGGGCCGGGAGCGGCGGGGCCGGGACGGAACGGGGGGAACCGGGAGCGCTGTGAGGGACAGACCGACAGACC